ACCTGTTTTTTATACATTTCACCGATATGGTTATTTGTATAGATAATTCTTACTTCAATATGTCTACATGCATGTTTCTTGTAACATATAGCAGATCCTGACTCATTACACAATGGTTTCTCTGGGTTATATTCCTATTGTTTTCAAATTAGAGTGAAGTCTGTATCCCTACAGACCTGGGACTGTACAGCGCAGTGGACGCTTACGGCTAATCCCCGGATCCATTCACTTAATTTGATATGTTCGTTTGTTTGTGATTTCTGTGCATTGTGTCTTGTCGACAGATTTGTTTTTGTGTAAATTATGTGTGGTGCACATAATGTCATAGCTGTGTGAGTAGTTTCATGTATAACCTTTGTATTATGGATGCTATAAATATATATAAAGAGAGAGAGAGAGAGAGAGAGAGAGAGAGAGAAATGGGGTTTAACGTCCACTCGACACAAACTAGGTCATTCCGGGACTAACATATGGTTTAATTTTATTTCAATAATTCGCTTGCGCATAGGGGTCTTTAGCAGTGGGAGGAAACCGGAGGACCCGGAGAAAACCCAGGAGGTTGGACAGGCGACCCTACTCCTTGTCACGTACAACCGGGGATTCGAAACCACGCCAGTCGACTCAATGACAGACTTTATGATACAGCGCGCGCACGCTAACCATTCAGCCATCCAACCCCCCTATTTTAAAAAATAAATATATATAAACATAGTTATAATAACACAGTGTTCCAGAGTTAAGTGATCATTGAGTAAAAAAAAGGGTACACAACGTGGAAGTCCTGATTGGATAAGTGTCACCATTGTGCCACAGTCCATTTTCTGGAGATCCGGGACCAGGATAGTGTCACATGATAAGTAAAATGTTGCCCTGTCGTGCGGATGGGACGAAAATTTGAGGTCTACTCATTTTCACCCTGACGTGCATGTAATAAAATTCTCCCCTCTAGCGTATAAAAAAAGAATCAAGAAAATATTATCGAGTCATTAAATTCCATTCATACAATTGGAACCCACAGACTGTTCTCACTCTAGAACTCGGGTATCCTTTTTTAAATTATTAATGAAAATAAAAGTATAGCACCATTACAAGATCACTATTAAAACGGTCTTTGATTTAAACGTAAAACACATGAAATTGGCTTTATAATGTATCAGAAATCCTGTTGTCCACACCATTGATCTTGACGATATAATGTGTATACAGGCTACATTGCAGAATCTTTTACTAGTATTAATGTCAGACAAAATTATTTCTGAAACTAGGCAATTATTTGCTTTCATTTTATAGCGTTTATGCTTCTATATTGTATTTACTTTAGTAGTGTGTTACTGTTTATACAGATGACATGTTTAAAACCGCGTTAATCTTCCCACAAATCAATGTTTCCAATAATTCTCTGCCACTAATGGTTCTGTTATAGCACCTACTGAATAATGAATGTGCTTAACTGACGTGGGTCTAATTTCATCAGATTTACATGTCTTCTATGTTGTAGGACAGTCAGATACAAATTAAACTGGGAACCGAAGTGGCTTAGTGCGTAAGGCGCTGGTCCATTAATCAGGAGGTCCAGAGTTGGCTGTGAACGTTTCCCGTGAATTTCCAGTGTGGTTTCTCTTTGTCAGTGGTGCAGAATGGAGGGCTTGGCAAGGGCAGCGTCTAGTCTTTAGAATGGGATGAAAAACGTACGTCCCGTGTACTCATTAACATGTACGTAAAAGACCCCTTGACAGTTGCAATTTTATTCGAAATAACAGTAGGCCAAAGTGCCACTGCCCGGAAAATATTCCCCTCGTAGCAACCGGCGCAGAAAAGTAGTACGTTAAACCCCATTTCATTTCACAAATCGAACTAATAAGATAAAAGTAATAATAACTTTTTCGTACATGCCAGCCTATTCTTCGAGACGTTTTGTTTTTTAAATACTGGCCATATTGAGATATGGCCTGGATTATAGAACACGGTCTGAAATGTTCTTGCTTAGATATTAAATCGTTCTCAAACATATGATATGATTATGGTGATTAATGAGAGATTAATTCATATGTCATATGGAACACCTTCCCTCGTGCTCACTGATTAATATTTCTACCTTACTCTAACCTGAATAATAAATCTAACCTGAAGAGATTAATATGTAGTTTTAAAATGTGTCATGTTATATAAAATAATAAAAATATAGTTCTAAAAGAAGCAGACAATCACACTATTAACGATATAATTCAATAGTTTATTTGCTAGATAACTGTTTCTATCAGTATCTGATAACTGTTCTCTAGTTTGTACATTGGTAATAACATTGTAATAACTTTACATTATTTCAATCAATCAGTACTAACACAAGTCTTATATATAATATGTATGGTGGCTGATAGTGGCCATGTTAGAACTCGCCCTTTTCATAACGCGACAACACGACATCACGACAGTATTGAAGCAATCACACAACACTTTACTCATCATAGGTGTACTCATTACATCATATAAGTAGCAGATTAGCTAAATATAAAGAGATAATAGGAAAACGTTGATTAATTATGGGTTCAGTGCCGGGATAAGATGAAGAGAGGCACTCGACTATTCCACTTAAGAGGCCCCACCCTCACAACTAGAGAAACACGAAAGTCTTTTTCAAACACAATTCAGCTAAGTCGAAGATGATGACGAAATGTTTTAGACTACAGTGTGTGTAGAAAGACTTATGGCAATGTTAACAATAGTATACACCTTCACACACCTTGGCCGACGGCGATCTAGATCTTAAAGGCCCTAGCCTCCAGCCTGCCAAGCCTGTAGGTAAATCCGACATTGCTCATATTCTATAATCACTGCCCCTCATAAATCAAACCAATGCAATGGTTAGACTTATGCTACAATAAATAATACTATGTCAACTTGACCAATATCAAGTTTACTCAATAAAATGTCATAAAGTGAAATGGGATATAATGGCCTACTTTTTCGCACCAACTGGGCAAATAAGGATGTGCTACAGTATGCGGGGAAAATTTTCCCCGGACAGCGGCATTCCGAGTAGACAGGACCTCGGGTTTTCGTTCCATCTGAAGGATTATGCGATGTTCCTTGCAAGACCCTCTATTAATCACCACTTACAAGGGGAAACCACACTGAAAATTCCCAAGGAATTTTCTTGGGGAACCCGAGACCTTCCGGTTAGCTGGCCAACGCTTTACAAGACGCAGCGGCTCAAAGGAGACAACATTCCTCTGTATCAGGAACACTTCTTGGATTCAGTGCCGGATTAAGACAAAGAGAAGTCCTAGACTATTCCACATATTATGAGGCCACATCCAATCTTCCACGCTCATGTCTAAAGGAAAATGAAAGTGTGTTGTTAAACACAACTGAACAAAGCCGAGGATGATGACAGATGTTTAAGATTATGACAGTGTTTAAAAAAAAACCCACGCAAAGCAGCTTTGTCTCAACTGAGGTTATCCGAAAGGAAAACTTGGATGTTTAGCAAATTTGATAAGGATCTAGGATCCTTGAAGAAATCTAATCTCTATGGTTCATCCTCTTATGGCCCTATTGCTTTCAACCAAATTTGAAAATAAATCTGTTAAACCCTATAGCCTCTATCGCGGTCACAAAGTCTTATGAATTGTGAATATCGATGGGAATCGATGACCGAAATGCTTCAAGCCAAATATAGCCTTTATCGCGTTCACAAGTTTTTTCGGAAAAGGGGGCATAACTCCGGAACGGAAAGTGGCAGAACACTGAATATCGGTAGGGTTCATCATCTCATGACCCCAATGCTTCACACCATTTTAAAAATTATAGCCTCTATCGTGTTTACAGGGTTTAGACAAAAGTGAAGGGGGAGGGAGGTAACTCTGGAGCTAACAGTCTCAGAACGCTGAATATTTGAAAAGAATCTGTCATAAACTGTAGCTTATATCGCGTTCACGAGGTTTTCTGAAAATGGATAACTCCGGAACTGCAGTTGACGGACCGACGGACAGGGTGACGACGTAATACTCCGACACGTTCAGAAATTGTACACTTTCATACACCTTGATTTTAACCCTATAGCACTATAGGTAAATCAGGCACTGACTGGATTTGTTCCATAGGGAATAGGAGCAGAACAGTAGGACGTTAAACCCCATATCATTTCATAGTTCTATAGGGCTACAGATTCAACGGCATGGATTGTCCCCGAGTCAGTTTATTATAATTACTGTACTAGAATCATATGATCCCCGGTGACATGTGTTTGTGGTGATAGAAATAAAACTCAGTTAATGACTCCATTACAAGGAAAGGATTGTTATTATTGAATTTTTCTGCTAATTGGTAGTGCTGGGGTGGATATTATGAATTATTTTTAGTTCCAAGATATCATAAAACTGCTAATGACATACAATTACGTATATAGCTCTTCTGTTCACAACCATATTATTACACACAGATACCGTGAATCTCACTTATCAAGTTTAATAAATGTCAAGAAGTTGTTAATATTATGACAATACGCCCACGTGAAACGAAAACCATTTACTCCCGTCTTAGAAACACAAACTCATGTGTATAAGTGGGCGACACAGCAGAGGGTAATTTTTAAAGGGGTAATATGTGTCGCACAAATAAGCATATAAGTGGCGTGGCAATTAATACTCTTATTTTCTTACTCGATGTAAAAGAAGAGGCTCATCAAAAGATATTACCGAACACATATAAGTGACCCTGGCTTGTTTATATGCTCTAAAGGAGATTCATCATATCTTTGTGAATGCTGAACGGAATTGTACCATTTTTGACCTAATATTACTTTTAGAGATTTATCCTAAGAAGAAACCGAATTAGGCAATGTCCCTTTTAAATCAATTAAGAACAATACAGTAATTTCAAGTCTGTCATAATAATTCAACCTTCAAGCAAAGTGTTTTATTCTTAAGCTAGATTCTTTGATTGGCCTCCTTGTCTACAAAGATAAAATTGAATAAGGAGGTAATTCGGGTATATTTTACCTTAGAGCAGATATGTTTAGGTGATTGACCATCTTTGTTATTAATATCTGGACAAACTGACGTCATCAGCTGCTGGTTATTATCATTTTGTCGGCTGTTTTTTTTATCGGCTTGCATTAGCAGACGACATCTAAACGTCATCACCTGAAAGCATTGAAAGATAAAACCATTCAACGATATACATTAAACTATGACTGGTTTAAATGCTGCAAGTTGGGACACATGGTCTCAGCCACCATTCCATGTTTATATTCGGAATGGGAATCCTGTACCCATCGAACTCGACCGAACTCAATTCGCCTAAAATAAGTAGTTCTGGGGACTCATACATCTGACTATTTTGTGTGGGACATACAGGCACACTAACGTACACATACCCAGACAGTCCCAATTTACCTTCAACAACAGGGGAATGAGAACCACCAAATCTTTCAAAGCATATTTTAATTATGAATGATAATAACGTGTTATGTGATGATATGTAATATCAATTGGTAATAAAAATCCCACGCAATACCAGATATACTTTCTGACCCATGTTTATTCACACCGCTGTTCAATTAACATTTGGACTGAAACTCTGTTTTAAAGGGCCAATCCCGATAATTTTTTGGAGAAAAAAACTGCTTAATGTTGTGTTAAAATCCCTAAAATCTTCTACCTAAGAGCAGAGCAACTAACTCAATATTTATGATACGTTTTCAAACAACTTAAACCCGTCAGTCTTCATCTGGAAATGCAGAACGGTGTCCCAAGCTGTATTATCCTGTATCTGAATAAGACCAGACTTTTATTTTATAAAACTAATGCGTAGGTGAAATTTACCTTTCGTTATCAAGTACAGCACATGGGTCATTTAATGTATAGACCTCTAAAGGAACGGGACTCGATTATCAGGTAACCCAACGAAAAGATTGGCCCGAAATTTTAAAAGGGTTACGTGTCCGGTTAAGCATTTTTGACGTTCACGTAGAAACGACTCAATATTTTGAGCTGAAAATTTGAAACAAGGTAAATACAACATTCCTCTATATTTTTGCGCTTAAATTTCATACGAACTTGGACTTTTAATTTTGAGACTCTGTTCAAATCGGGATAGTCCCTTTAATCATTAGTTACGTATTCCCAGCTCACCCTAGCTCAATACCACTCTTGTTGTAACAGAATAATATGTCCCAATCTATATTCTGGTCAACAAATTGTACTATTTTACAATATTCCAATTAATTGATGATACAAATTTCATCTTAACACACCTAATTTAAAAAAATTAGAAAAATCCAACCAAATGATTTGAAAAGCCTGACGTAAAGCTTTTCAAAAGTCACTTGGATTTAAAAATATTTTTGAACCCTTTGGACAATTAAAATAGGATTTAATGGATAATTTACACAACAGGTAGGACACTAACACATCTAGTACTTAGAATAAGGCTTTTTTTTTTATTTTCTGGAGCTTTCAAGCCAGCAAGAGTGTTATTGTCCCTTTAAAAGTTAATATGGAATGAATTTAAATGGCATGCGCATTTAATCCACTGGGTTTATTTACAGAAATTTATGTCCTTTTCGCTACTTTCGTCCGTTCGATATTTAATTAGAAGTCGGATAAACCTTATATTAATTCATTCGTGTAAGAAAGATAAGATGATACACATACAACAGTTACTGTAGCGGTGACTTTAACGATCTGCAGAATCAAGATTATTGCCATGCAGTATTGTAATAAAATTTACTTATTTTTACCTACTTACAGGCCTCGGTCCTATCAAGTAGTTCTTATGTTTAGACTATCGACAAAGCGACTTCCTTGTTTGTGGCACATTCATAAAAAAATCTTAAAAAAGTTATTAAATCAGCGCAAAAGCTATATTACTTTGTCTCGTCGACTCCGTATAAAATGCATTATAATGTAGCCTACGTAATTGTTTTATTTTATTACGCACATAGATTAAGAATCAGACAGGTCTTGGCCCCACTACAGTGTAATTAATTTCGGCAAATTTGTAAATGGAATGTATTTGATTGGGTCCATGTGACCCCATTCACGTGTAACACAATTTACTATGACATTAGTGGAGAATGAAGTTTCCAGTCTAATATTAGAGTTAATTTAATTCTAATGTTTATACTCCTCTAAATAATAACAGTAAAGAACCATTCACACCATGTCAGTTTGTTCCTCCTGTTACATGTAGTTCAAATCTCCAAACAATAAACATTGATAATGTTATTTCAACCGGAATCAACCCATAAACAGGAGTATATGTTTTTCGATAGAAATACATTAAAACAAGACCCTGAAGTGTCACGCAGACTTCAATTGTTAATTCAAAAGTTATACAGGAAAATCTAAGGAGACCATTGAAATTTGTGTTAGTTTGCCCGTTGAATCAGATTATAAACTGGAAAAGAGATGTTATATGAAAACTTTGGTAGACCACATATGATTGCTAAATAACATTCAACCCAGCGAGTGATTTGAATCATTTAAATAATCTTATGAACTTAATAGAAAACTGCCCACATTTCCGTCGTAGCAAGTGGACTGAAAGCTCCCAGAGAATGCCAGAATCTTGACTTGAACTTAAATAGAAAACTGCCCACATTTTCGTCGTAGCAAGTGGACTGAGTGCTCCCAGAGAATGCCAGAATCTTGACTTAGGCGAAATTAGTAATTTAATTCTTGAATAGTAATTCGAAAGTGGTTTTATTATTTTAAGATCTGTTGCAGATAACGCATTAGTCCTCTTCACCTGATTGTCTTCTTCTTCCTGATATATAGCACCTATATTTACGACCACGGTAGGGTGACCCATGTACTCACAGAAATACAGTCCACCGCTGATAGTTCGAGACTACCACTGAAGCGTGCACATTCGCCGTGCCGAGACCAACTTTCTGACAGTATGATACTATAAATAGCCATGGCACGTGCAATTCTCTACAAATCTATCAACTATTACAGCCGTAAAAAATTTATTGTTGACGATTTTGAATAGCAGTAAAATTAAGCTTCTTGGTTATTACAGCAGATTTAGAAATTACGTTCGTTTCATTTTTTAAATCGCTTTATCATTAACTGTACCGTTAAGAGCGGCATCTTTTGGTTTAGTACAAATAATATCTCTGAATCACTCGGGTTAGACAGGAACATGATACTAGCAGTGGTTTCATTTTACTTTTACAAGCTTCTTAAAACGATTGTTGAGCTACCTAACGTGCTTATTTCTAAATTCAATTACTTGTTCTAGCTTTCTGTTATGTTTCGTAAAAAAGTAGTCTTGATTATCCCGACCTGTCAATCAGACGTAGAATGGTCGATAGACTGGTTAAGCGAGACTAATTTCAAAACAAGGGCACGTAACCTATCTTTTACTCAAAAGTGTCTGGATGTTATGGACGACTCTTGGAACCAGTTTTCAGTCTATTATTTACACATGATTAATGGTCATAGCTTATTAAGTACAACATGATCGTTTATTTAGTGACTATAATTGTGTGAAACTGATTTGAGGCTTGGCATATATATAAATATTGTGGCGTAATTGTTGAGATATATGGAGATATTTATTTATGGTGGGTCACCCTACGGCACTGGTCCCGCTTATTGCAGTTAACAGACTGCGGTGGTGAAATTGCCATTTTTATACTAAAATGTCTTGGATATCTGTCAGTCTAAATAGGTCGTCACCTACAAGTATGACACCTACATAATACTATCTTCGGTTTATATCATAGGTGTGTCATGATTAATTTCGAGCGCTTGGTATGTAATTAAATTAGAGGTTTACGCCTTTAAAGTCCGCTCTTTTAATCTCTTATCATTTGTCACCGCCAATTTTAGGATATATTTAGGAGATAAACACTTCCTGTTACGTATATAGAGGGGGTTTATTGTCTATTTAACCATGCTTGAATCATGGTGGAAGCGGACGTTAAATAAAACTAACTCACACATTAGAACACGAGACGCGATAGCGTCGAGTTGTTCTAATGGATAATTCAAGCATGGTTAAATGGACAATAAACACCCGATAAATACGTAACAGGAATGTGTTTATCGATATTGTAGCACAAATATTTTGAGATTTTCTTTTGAACTATTTAGAAAACATTTTTACACCCATTTTAAAAAGTCGTTATTTGGTCACGCGCTTGCGTTCATTTTTCAAAATATTTTCAATAGACGGTCTCTTGCTTACCTGCAAATCTAAAATTTTTGAGTCTCGAGTTGCTGGTAAATGAATTATGAAAGAAAATGTTATTCGGATATCGAAAACAACAAAATATTTTTAACGTTTGAAGATCTTTAAAAGAACGAGAAATTAGTATTTTTTATTGCGGTATTTCGAGACGAGTGTCAGCGTGATTGAAATAATTCCGCCCTGCTATCCGAGACTAAAAGAGAAGTAACTCTTGGCAACAAAAATGACTTCGTTTCGGGAGTTTCATGTAAGTTTCCAGCATTTATTATTTTATTTTGCAGACTGTTATCACAATTTTGTAGCTAGTTCCTCTTTACACAATTGCAGTTCATACTTACATCCTCTAAAATACCGTATAAACCACGACAATGATGTCTAGTCTAAGATGCCAGTGGTTGCTATGTAGCTGTTCTGACGTGTTGTCAACAAATGACAATTTTGGCATAAATGATAATGATTAGGCCTATATTTCAGCTGCTGTATTCGACTCCCTCATTGTATTTTCAAGCGATTCCTTGTGACTAATGACTTATTATTAGGTAGATCATGCTAGTCAGATTTTGAAAGCATGATTTTTTTCTTAAAAAATCCACCTGATTAATAAAAATTGGTGAGTGAAGCTAGCCTACCAAAAAAGAAAACATAGGCTACTGACACTGTCACTGCCTAGTTACGAATATATTTGGATACCTGAAAACGGTTTTAATTAATTTATGACTGATTTTCTACTGTTTTATGTATTTCAGAAATGTGATTTCATAAAAGATGATGTTTGAAACTGGTGTGATAGTCATGTGTGCAGAATTCCTTTCGTTCGTTTCTGGGGTTTTACGTCCACTTCCACCTAAGGTGATATCGTAGACAACAGAATTCCTAGAATAATCTTTAAAACAACAAGAGGGATTATCAATGATCTTCCTCAACTCAAATCTTTATTGGCAAATATCTTCTTTTTTGCAGAATTCCTTGAAGATATTTGCCAATAAAGATTTGAGTTGAGGAAGATCATTGATAATCCCTCTTGTTGTTTTAAAGATTATTCTAAACGCTACCTTAATTAGATGAATTCTGGTATAAGCTGTATTGGAGTATTAGCAATTATTGTGAGGGCAGCGTCTTTAGTTACAAACAATAAACTTTAATTAGTGTTTAAACTAAATTGGTTACTATAAACTAGTTGCTAGGAATGCATAATGTAGCTATAAAAGAAAGACATCTAGTGAACTCCTCGTAACTTGCTATACATCTAATACAGTGTTTGCTTCATTTAAGACTTATAACCAGAGAACTTTAGCTTTTACAATATAGTTCTTCATCGTCGGTACTACGTCACTTTGTCAAAATTTTAATTATCCATAATTTAGTCAATTTTTTATGAAATCATTTAAATTTCAGATATGATGTGCATAATATGCATCTATATTATCTTCCCTTGTCGGTGACTTTTTGTAATACTTTCGGCAATATTGATAAAAACTGAAGCTATTTCCGGTTCTTGTTAGTGATGAGTAGGACACAACTCTAAAAGTAACTCGTTCCCGGTAATGCGGTTATGGCTCGATCATGCGATCGGCTTCGTGATAAGTTTTGGTAAGTTATTTGTCTTTTTGCTTGAGACTAAAAAGTTGAGACACCGGGTTTTCAAAATATTTCATCAATGTGGATGATGTTAATTCATTGAGAATCAGCCCAATATTTTTTCATTACTTTTTATTACATTTTATCGTAATATTTCATTAAATGTAGCTTAATGGCTGAAACATATAGGATGACATCGCTTCTAAACAGAGGGTGGGGAAACACATAGGACCCATTATATGTATTTATAATGTTTTATTGTATAATATAACATGCCAGTTAGAGTAATATTCACAGCAGATGAATATGGATTCGTTATGACAACGTGTGCAGTAACGATACAACAACGGTCGTAACCACAGTTAAAACAAGTTAATCAATATTTAGATTCCAAACAGGATACGCGGTATAATCGAATAAAAGGTTTATTCACAAATCTCATATTATAAAAATACGGATTAAAAATCAATGGCGATATCAGTTATGTGTCTTTCCGTGGTACTCTTACACAATATTATACACAACTTTATATTTCAACGGAAGGTATGTCACGTATATTGTATAAAAATTACATTAATTAGTAGCAAACATACATGTTTTAAATCTTCTAAATTATTATCTTAAATACACAGCTGGCCCATAGTAAATTAATAACGACCCTAGATTAACAGTATCATATTCATTATCCCGGTTTGCGTAGAAATGTAGAAAGTTAAACCATATTATATTTCAGATTAAATGAAATGAAATGGGATGTTCTGCATTTCAAATTAAATGTTATAATAAGCCCTAGTAGTTACATAACAAATTAACGGAAATTGTCGATCAATACTACATATAAAGTTCCAGCCGTCACATAGTAAACTAATAAAGATTTTAGATTAATAAATAGGTAGCCACAGTAGCTCGGGATCTTCTATCTTGGTTTACTCCTGCCAGGTGCGCGGTCAATCTGTTTCACAGAGATCTTCTAATATCTCTGTAACAGATGACTGTTTCGACACGTGACGTCACATCACGCGGCGTCAATCATTGGCTCAATAGTGCGTGCATTGTTTACATAAGACGTTACTGATTCGGGCTAAATGCTGAATTTTACTTATTTTAATACCTATTTACACTAAATCGGAAATGATTTTTACCTACAAATAATTCAAACGTCTTTATTTATTTTTCTAATAAATGAAAAAAATGTTTTAGAATTTAATTTGACGGAAGAAAAAAGTTAATATTTGGGACTCATTAAGTCGCATCGATGTCATCCTTATCAGTGATTGTAGCGGCCTAGCGAAAATTCACTGCTGATCAGTGTGGTGTGCAGTAACAGGTTCCTTGTACATATTGACGCGCATGTGAAAGCACATTGACAGTTGGAATTCGAAGATAGATTAAACTTCCTGTAGCCATATAGTAAACTAATAAAGATTTTAGATTAACAATGAGATTAAAGTTGAAGTAGTTACATAGTAAACTAATGAAGATTTGTGATTAACGATGAGATTAATGTTCCAGTAGTTACATAGTAAACTAATGGAGGTTTTGTTGTAAGATTCAAGTTCTAGTAGTCACATAGTAAACTAATAAGATTTTAGAATAATTTTCTGGTGTTTTACTAAAACTTGAAACTTAACACTGAATGTATTCCTTGGTGAGCATGTATCGGTGTGATTTATGTTTTTGTAGCTAACGTGTTTATATCGTCTTAAAGGGCGCATGGCTCTATTCTTTGAAACATTAAAATAGAAGAAAATGGCTCTAAAAGCACATGTTAATGTAATATTAATGTATATATAAATTGATATATTTTTAATTCTTTTTTATTGTAATTTCTAATCAGTTATGTTAGGCGAAATACGTGAACGGTCCAAATTGAACGACAGTTGTTTACTCCTGCTTAGTCTATTCTTCACGTATTTCAATTATTATTAAAATTGTGAATCTGCCATTACTATATTTACTTCCGCAAGTTTTTCTTTGTTCATTACAAATGGCTCCCGAAGCCATAGATTACACGATTGTGTCTAAAATATTGGATATTAGGATCCCATATGTTTACGGAAAGACAACAGCAGCAATATTGATTGAAATGGACCAATACTGAATTCTACCTGTGTTTCTAATTGCGAATATTATGTAAAAACATTGATGTGATGTGATATACAGAAATACTTAGTCTAACAGTATACCATATCTGTTGGTCTGCAACAATCAATTGATACTCAGGGCCAAGTATAAAATGAAAACCACGTAATAAATAGAACTTCGACGTTTTTATTTATTGAAAGAAGAAGAATAATATTATATTCTGTAACTAAGGTTCGCTTCATTTCTGCTATCAACCATGTCATCTTTTATAGCTAATATCTGAATTGAGAATTTAAGGCAATTCAAACACTGACGAGTGGTAGCTTTCTGGTTTCGACGCTCAAGAACTATCTTTTACTTCATCACTGTCTGGTTTGCAAACATCAGCGTTCTTTCCGGTTAAAGCAGACAATTTATTCAGTAAACTCCTAATGGGGCGTTTCATTAATTTGAGGCGATTTGTTGGATGCCTATAGGCTAATCTACCTTCACCGGGATCCCGTGAAACTCTTCAAAATAAGATCATGGTCAGTGGTGATAAACGCCGCGAAAAGACCCATAACACCACTGAAGTTACCTTTCTGACATCTACAATACATCTTATTTCACTAACCAGCATTGTGTAGTATTTATGGAGAATGAATTAAGACAGGTAACTTTGACGACGTAAAGTGAGGTATAATAGACAAACTCTAATAGGGACTTTGGTGGGAGATTGTTTTTGCTTCATTCACATCCTAATGTGCAGTTTATAATTGTTTGTCTATCGAGTTTACATTCTACCTGTGTTATTGATTTATTGTGGTAGATTGTTATATTGGACTACCATCTTGTTATGGTGTGTGTATTTAGGATTTTCGATAAATAGACTGTCTAGTGTAATTGGATTATGGCTATTTTAAATATGATATTAACACTTGCCTATTACAGAGTTGCGAATTGGACCCTTAAAATTCTTATTACTTGTAATTTACGCCCAAATAGTCTGACAGTAAACCCCAGGGTGCTAGCTTCTTCACATTCTTCCCACTCCATATCCCAATTCTTTTCGTTTTTAGGCGAAAGCTGTAGATTATAGGATTGTGCGAACAGTGGGTTTACATTTGGTTAAAATTGAATGTTACATCCAATTCGTTTTAGAATTCCGATAGGTATGTGGACCTTTTCGAGACATTTTCATGGATAAAGCCCGAGCCTGGGGTTATAATGGGGAAAGAAAGACATGAAGAAAGAACCCGAGATGACAGAAAAACCGAGGACGATAGGCCGAGGTTCTTCCATCAAGGGTTTCTTTCTGAGGTCTTCTTTATCTCGTGAATTATTTCGGACAGAGAAAAACCTGGAAAGATCAAAGATTTCCCGTCACAGGTTTATATGTTTACTTTACATGCAGCAAACGTAAATATTATAAGGTTACCTTTTCCACGTTTTTCACCCGTATGTGTTTCACATTATTTTGCTTTTTACAGTTTTATGTTTTAATATATAAAACAAGTTTGTTTGGACCGAATCATTTTTTGGGATGCTCGATCTACAGGATTTGCACTCTCGATATTTTGAGGATCGAAATGTTCATAAATAGAATAAGGCGTATGTCAGGGTGCAAATTTATTTGGACCTAGTTCCTGTCTCTAATCGGACCTAGTTCCTGTAGTTCCTGTCTCTAATCGGACCTAGTTCCTGTCTCTAATCGGACGATGTCTGCTGGCAGTTCCTATCCGTCCCTTATAGCTGTAATATGAAAATACAGTACAGTAACATACCACTCTTCCCAACCCCTGTTTTCAAGCTATTTTGGAATCCTTTCCTTCTATTTTTCACCTTGATTCTTTATTTTTCGCCAAAAAGAAATTTTACCGCCCAATACACCAATGGATATTATTCAAAGTTAACTGCGTTTATAGTTTTCTTGGTGAGGGTGGCGATGTTTTTTAAACAAAATATTTAAATAACCGCATATGTTAAGGTAAAGATATCCAGATCTAACAAATTTTTATCTAATAAACAATCTCATTACAACTGATCTGATAGTTCTACTGACATTTCTAATATTATGACAATCAACTTATGTCTGCTGATTAAATAAATTGCGATAATTGGACAGATATTATAAGACGAAAGAGGTTTTATATTAATATAGGGATTATCACTATATTAACAGTTCAGTTAATAAATATGAACATAATAATACTGTTAGCTTTGTGATTGACTGAGGACCTTTTAAATGTAACAAAACATAGGATTAATGATCAAAATGTCCCTGATTTACGGCGTGTGTGTGGCCGTATGGGTTTTCAAGCCCATGTCTCGCTTGCCTCCTCGACGGTCCCATTAATTTGTTCAAATGAGACAAGCAGGGGTCCCGCGTCTTACACACTCGTGACGCACACCCTGTTAACAGGAATTTCAACCTTATTGTAAGCACAAAAAAATGACCTATATTTTAAATACTTTCTAAAACACTGTATCATTCTTTCTTCAAATTAAAAGCTTGAAAAATATAATAACATTATACAAGCTCAATATAAAACAATATGAGTATTTTGGATTCATCCAAATAGGCCTACCATGTGATGGGTCATCAGTATGATCTTCGTCACCGATTTTGATATCGTGGGTATTGTATCATAATCACACTCGAAGATACCTTTTGTTACAAAAAAATCGACCACCTTGGCAGATGTGCATAATATAATACAGTATACAACAGACCTAAGTAGACCTAATATTACAATGCAAAAAGAAAAAAAAATGTCTAAAGGACATATGCCAATATAACAATAATAAAACAGTTATATTGTTGAAAATCTCTCTAGCAAAGTGATAAATCAATTCTCGGTTATTATAAAATAGGTTAGTCTTGTGGATAGAGAGAACCTAGTAGATATGTAATAAAATTAATACAACAGATGTCGATGGCGATGGTGGTTATCATTGGTAATTCGCATTATCATTAGTTAGTATACACTCATTAATCCTGACACCGTTCAAGACATCTTTATGAAACAACATGCCACAATAAAAGCCAACATATAGCATTAAACCGTATACATATGCAAACAAAAAATGGTACAAAACCAATTCAAATGGATCAACTCTAAATTGTCCGTGAGTTTTTTTTTAATATTTATTTCACATTGACATTTTTTCTACAAACGAGATAAATACTGTTAAGATTCCATTATAACAAAAGACTTTGCAGTGAAAGAGTGCATTATATATTTGACATTGGAATATTTATTTACAGCCTAATCTATATTTACTCTTAAATAGAAAAAAAAAACAATACACGAAAAATGTATTGATTTCTTTCATTTTATTTGAACGTTGAAACTCTGAAGAATTTCCTAACGTATAACCAGTTTCAACAGAGCCTCAATCAACTGCGGATGCATTTCTATTTAACCGTGCACAGGTTATACAAATGATGGATTTGTTACTTCTTGGCGTATTTTGTTTTGTTTTGGATTCTTTAATATAAAATCATGGATTTCGTCAGACAACAGTTCTTGTGACCTAACGAATATTTATATAGAGTTTTAACGTCTATTATCTTTTGTTTAATATATCGACCCTACAGAATATTGATAGATTACAGTTCCAATCATTATTATACCATTTATTTTAGTATAGATGGGTTTATAGAAAACAGAAAAATACACCGTACCTTGAAATAAAGTATACATAACTGTCAATCTTGATACGCTAGTTCTCCCTGTCCACACCATGCCGATATGCCAACTTTACCGCCAATACAGGATACTCGGGAAGGGCACGCGGGGTGAGATGCAAAACAAACCAGATATAGAATTGCCAACTAGTTCCATATGATCGATAGCAATTGAACTAACAGGTATGTGTTCTATCCTAGCAACGGTAGCCATGACAACCGCTACACACACTGTAGAAATAAGATTCTTTACGATGATAACCTGATAGGAAAAGTAGATTTAAAAGAGCTTTATAGTTTTAAAATTAAGGATGTTACTTTTTGTGAAACTTTTATTATGATTGTAAGCTTTATTCCCCCTCTCATTATTTCATTTCTTTCAACAGTAATTACCAAAAGAAAAAAACAACCTTTAATCAACGTATTTCGGCTTGCTGAGTGGAACATTAGATCAGTGGTTCTCAACCTTTTTTTGCCAACGTCAAACCTTGGAACACATGAAGTAATAGGGGCACACCTGGATATATATATATATATATATATATATATATATATGGAAAATATTTGAATTTTGCAAAATAAAAACATGGCAAGTCATAGACGGCATACAACCGTAGACGCAGACTAGTCATACATACAAAGAATGACTCAAACTACATCAAGAAAAACACAGCTATGAACTTACTTTATTGCAGTGTTTCGAATTTCATCAGTCAAATAACTGGCTTATTGAGAAATTGTCTTAGCGTGCCGTTCGAAATTTCGCGGCACACTGGTTGAGAATCACTGCATTAGATAAAGAGTACTGTTTACTGAGTGTATTTTATATTTAAAAAAAAAAAGAAAAAAAAAAGAAATTGACTCATGAATACTAACACTTGTGTGACAAAGTACTCTTATAACTTTCATCAAATTGAACGATTATTTAGGTCCTTAGAACTTTATGACCTCAGCTGGTTTTTGATAATGTATGAACTTCTGTTAAGGCACGAACTGGCAATGGTCTTATTAAACATGTAATTAATCCCATATGTCGTTTACAAACTACATATGATCTGTGTACAAGCTCCACATGACTTCAAAGAGATATGCACTGGTCAGTAAGCATACCATGACGTGCGAATATGTATGATCATGAGTTTTATCTATTCTCCGGTGCTATATAATCAGGAGTTTACCGACAGACAGACAGAGCGGAGAGGAGAAGAGAGGCTTGGACGAGTGCATGGACTCACCCGAGTTCAGCCGCTGCCTTGGCAGAGGGGCAGAATGGTGGATTTAATATTGTAATATGTGTTCCTGTTGTAGTCTAGTTCCCGATGTAGTTTAGTTCATGTTGTATCTATGTAACTGTTTGATATTCTGATCCGATGTAAATAAATCCTATATTTACTAAACTGGTCTACTGTTATCACTAAGATAGTGTTATACTTGTTCCGAAATTTAAGATTTGTAAGGTATACATTAATCAGTACGGAAGTAATCATCCTCCATGTCCTTAGTAGTACGGAATGATACAACTCGGGATACTGAGGGTGGGTAGTAATCAAAGCGGTACAAGGATTGACAAATCTCAGAAATCAATACAACAAAATTAGTATTTATTTATCTGGGCGCATACGATGGATCGGTTGAATACATTTTTCACCAATATGTTTTAAGGGGCAAGGGATGGGTTTTTAGACTGTATCTTTCAATCTGAATGTGACTTATAATCTCTTGATTGAAGCGCACATATTGAAGGTTAAATTATTGATTATCTTTTCTTAACAACCAAATTTCTCGGAAAGCATTACAAGTGCGGGTTGCGGGTTTTATTTCTAAATGCTTTTTTTCATATTCAAATTGATAGATTCATTTTGGTTAAGGATGGAAATGTTGTTTAAAGGAGCCAATTCAATATCATCCACAGTCTTCGGCATTGCAAACACGACATATTGGTCAACTGATTTACAATCAATCGTTTCTGTTTTTACTCTAATTTCAAATCAGTTATGTTCGGCGAAATACGCCAGAAGTCTCAATCGAATGGCAATCTTTAGCCTCTGGTTACTCCAGTCAACACCGACAGTTTTTATTGCGCATGCTCTCTAAATAAGAATATGCCGTCACCGTTGTATGAAGTGACTCGATGCACGAGGCTAAACATATCACATGTAGGAGAATACTACCGGTGTAGACTGGAATAACCAGACGCCAAAGACTGTCATTCAATGCAGACTCTTCGTATATTTCGCCGAAATAAATGAAATGAAATTGAGTTTAACGTCCTACTGTTTTGCTCCTAAACTGGGCTAATGAAGACGGGCATACGCCACACAGTGTGCTATGAGGGGAAATTTTCCCGGTCGGACAGCGGCACTACGGCTTACTCTTACATCGAATTCCAGCTGTCAAGGGATCTTTTACGTGCACGCGAATCTGTATTCAAGCCTATATTTTAAGAAGAAACGAGTTACGTGTGGGATGAATATAAATGACCTGTATAATAATGCTGGAAAGAATAATATATCTTTAATGTTTCGTCCAGATCATGTCGGGAAAACTGCCATATTCTGTTAAGTGTGCAATGGATTGCCAATCTATCCGTAATGCACAAGGCAAAGAAACAGTATACGGTAAGTAATTGCGGCAAGTTCTCGCGTGATAAACTTCCATAACACTTTAAACTCCCACCACTGGTATTCCACAACTGCCAACAGCTACGGTACTGGTGATAATCAGATGTAATGGTAACTAGCCAGGTCCAAAGGGCGTAGATTTGTCATAACTTTGGAGGGTGGGGGGGCGAACCCTGGACTATTTCATTACTAAACCAAAATAATAATTACGAACAGTTTACTTTACCAGTGTTATTTCGATGAAAGCTGTAACTAAGGGTAATATGATGACGATATGGAAAAATTGACTATATACCTACATCAAAGCTGCACAAATATTAATTGTTCATGAAGTTAAGTGAATCGTCCAAAGACTTCCATTCTACGATCAGGACTGCATCTATGAATATCTTGGCGACATGCTTTGGGTCCTGATCATGAAGGTCATTATGCACCGCACACACCATCAGGTTGCGCAGCCAAGTTTTGATACGGTGCAGAGTGCTGAAGGGTCGCTCGGCTGAGTAGGAGTTAGCAGGGTTCAGCAGTGTGAGACGGAGAAGAGCTTCGACAGAAGGGACCATCTGCCTCATCTCAGGTGACATACCGAGGAACGCTTCGTGCACAAGTGGAATCGATTTGGCCGAAAATTGGCGCTTGAAGATTGTCAATTCTTGTTCCAAGTCTCATTCAGTTCCGGAAGATATCGTGAAGATCAGTAACTGTGGCGAGACCCAAGACAGTGGTTAGATAGCCTTCAGAACGGGACATCTGTCACATATTTTACCCCACTAAATAACCAGAAAATGCCCCATGGCGGTCAATTTCCCCAAGGGTGCCATCATCCTGATTCTGAATTTACACATACTGAAGATACAGTGTATATAATCCATCAAAAAAATTAGGTGGACTTTTTTTTCTAGTTTCAGCTTAAAATAATACTAACACAAGTGTTTTTCCAATATAATCTATAATAAATTATTTTTAATTTATTGATGTAACTGTAAAAGTATTCAATTTGTATTTATGACCATGCATTTTGATTTTAATATTTGTATTTTCCAGAGAAATTGACATTCTGTAAATTTTTAAAAGTAAGTATACAGAACATAAATACAACATACATAAAATTATAACAAAATAAACAAAGATAGGTTGTCAGGCAACAAAACATACGCCCACACCGGCTAAATCGTCCACCGATCGACAAGTTAGTGTTGTCGCATTTATTCTTTTGTAGGTAATTTGGAGCATCTACAAGACAGTTTCATACAGATTAGATTATAATTTTTGACGTTTGAGGGTTCACAAGGTCCTACAATTTAAATAATGCATATAAATTTCATACAGATTGGGCGATAACTTTCAAACGTTCAAAAGGTTAACAGAATAAAACAAGGGGCATAACTCTAGAAATAATTGACGGAAATAGACTTCTTCATCACACTAATGTAAACAACATATATCAATTTTAACACAATCGGGTGATAACTTTTGGCATTAGAGCGTTCACTAGAAATTGTGTGTGTTGTGTTTATATTTTTATATGCCCACATCAAAATGTGGACGTATATTGCCGTCGCCCCCCGTCCGCAATTATATATATATATATATATATATATATATATATATATATATATATATATACATAAAAAAACAAATGAGATTTACAAAATTATATACAAAATTCTCAGTCATATAGATATTTAATGAGGTATAAGGGCTTTAGAATTCTTTGCACTGGCCGGGTTGGTGATCAAAAATAATTTGACTGTTTACTTTCTCACCAGGCTTGCATATATACACTGTAAGCAAAGTTTGGGACAAATAAGCCAACTAATATATTTTTAGTGGTATTCACCAAGAAGACTAACAAACATGCTAAGGAAAAGCATTTTTATTTTAAATAGGTTATTGTTTGATTTTTCTATAATTAGGTGGATATTGCATTATTTTGACATTTTAAATTAACTACTAGTAAATTCCCTTTTTTGCCAAGGGTGATAATGTCTGTTTAAATACGATTACTAGTAATAAGACAGCCTGTTTACCCCCCCCCCCCCCAAAAAAAAATAAAAATAAAAAAAATAAAAACCAAAACAAAAACATATTTAAATCTTCTCTATGGTATATAGTATTTTAGTTATATTTTGATTGAAATTATCCATCACAATTAAAGGGGCATTAGGTAAGATTAGATAAAGAGCTGACATCTCTCACTAAAATAGTTAACCAGCTAAAAACAAAAACCGCCAAGTTTGTACAATCAGGGGCAATAATCCAGAAAGTTATAGTCTGAAATGCGCAAATATCAAAGGGGACTGAGATCTTTGGGATATAAAAATACAATATGTCTAAAGTTTCATCAAAATCGGATAAAAATTGTGACCTGTACAGGGTCCACAACCTTCGTATACACACGTGTACACAATTTGCGTACAAAGAGCGGCCATTTTGTCGGGCAGTTTCATTTCAATTTTCCCGAAATTAGAATTCATCCTTCATTATGGTGAAATGGTGGTATATTTAAACAGTTTTAAAATCGGGGGAAAAAATGTGACCTGAGAATCCGCAAGCTAAAAATGCGAATTTTCAAACAATCAGGGGCCATAATCCAAGAGGTTACATTCGGATATGCGCAATTATTAAAGAGAGAGAGAGAAATGGGGTTTAACGTCCTCGACACAAATTAGGTCATTACGGGACTAACATATGGTTTTAATTTTATTTCAATAATTCGCTTGCGCATAGGGGTCTTTAGCAGTGGGAGGAAACCGGAGGACCCGGAGAAAACCCACGAGATTGAACAGGCGACCCTACTCCTTGTCACGTAGACAACCGGGGATTCGAAACCCCCCATTATTAAAAAGAACCAAGACCTTAGTGTGTAACGGTAATACATTTACGCGTTTTTTTGAACTCAACCAAAATTACGGTGTAACGAACGGTGATATATTAAAACGTTTTTTTAAATCGAATAAAAATTGTGACCTCTACAGGGACCACAAGCTAAAAACGTGATTTTTTATACAATCAAGGGCCATGATTCGGGAAGTTACGATCCCATATGCACGAATATCGAAAGGAACCACGTAGGCCTATTTCCACAACCTTGATACACCAGATGTTTACACTATTTGCGTACGAGGGGCGGCCATTGTGTCCGGCAGTTTTGGTCCGATTTTCACGAAATTTGAACTCAACCAAAATTACGGTGTAACGGTGATATATTCAAACGTTTTTTTTTTTTAAACATACATTATGCAAAAGCTAAATCTGATTATTGCAAGTCTTTTTTTAGGCTTCAGATGTCATAGAAATTATAAATTAGACCTTTATTTTCACAACAAGCACAAAATCAACTCTATAGACCAACGGATGGCTTGGATTCGGCTTGGATTTAAACAGGATTTCATTGATTGATTACATTTTTAAATGGCGTCGTAAGCGGATATAAACCGTTACGTTGACGTCAACTCCCGGAAATTTTAGATCGAAGCTAAATGATAGAGTGTACGAAGCGAGGCCGCATGTCAGTCAATTTGATTGAAAGTTCGATATATACGGCCTTGATATTATGTTTAGTTGTGGTTAAAATCAGAGTTTGGATGTCGGTATATTATACGCTCTTTTGTCACTTGCGCTTACAGAAAAAATATGGAAATTGATAAACATCGCAGCTAACATCACCTCAGTTGAATTGCAGCCCCATTGGATCACTGTTTCCTATTTGTCTGCTTCTGGAGTTACGTAGGCCCATAGAGGTGTATATACACTTCAATGCGTAGGCCTACCAGTTACTTACAGTACAAGAGTACCAGCAGGCTAACAAGAAGTCAGCTATAATTATGCCTCATTGATTTGGTCCATTCCTTTCAAACTTTCGCTTCTTATCTATATATTAAAAGTATTATTTTTAATTTGCAGTAAAAACAAGCCAACAGTGAGGCTGATGTCCTCCGCCGAAATAGGAAAATAATTAGAGGACACATATAAATTTATCACAAATTATCTTTTACAAAGTATTGAACAATCGAACAGTATATCTTTACTTATAGTCTAAGCATACAATGTTTTTGATGGAATAATTATAGCATATTAAGGGGAAAACATGCTCTATGCCTACAGATCTAGAGTTTGGTTGTATCAACGGGTCTATTTTCCATCTTGCTGCAAGTTGTGCAAAGTTCACTGTTTTCTTTCTGTCATTAAATGTCAATTCATTATTGCATACTACATATTTAATTAATTTATAATAGTTTCTTTTTCAATTTGTTTTTTCCATTTATTTGTTTATTTACCTTGACTATATTCATTGTATTGGATTGTATTGGAATTGCTCAATTGATGCTTTTATCAATACCTGGTTATAATATTATGACATGTAATGTGGCAAGTTGAGTCGGGACATGTAGGCTATAATGTAACCTAAATGTATACATAAGTGGATTTCGTTTCATTTTTTTCGAAAATATTGTACAGATAAAAGAGGAGGAATTACAGGGGTAATACATTGGAAAGCTTCTTCAAGAACTAAAGCATAAACTATATAAACGAGCTTATAAAAAGGAAAAGTTTGTATAAAGACGTTTCGTTTGCACAACTGGGTGATGATAAATCACGTTTTGTCTTTCTAGCAGACGACACCGTTTTACGGCGAAAGCACGCGCTCTATTTGTGACGCTTAATTTATTTTATTATTCACTCGACGTCATCACTTAGTAGACTTACTATTTTTAATATGTTGTCTTCGGTATAAAGCTGTTTATCTTGCTTATCTCTGCTTACCCTAAGCGGAAAATGCTCATCTTCGAACTCCATCAAGGCATTGACCTAATCAACACATACACCAAGTTTGAACATTCTAGCTCAATTAGGAAGAGAGTTATCGTGCCCCAAAGTATCAACCAATCAAATTGCTTATCTCTGCTTACCCTAAGCGGAAAATGCTCATCTTCGAACTCCACCAAGGCATTGACCTAATAAACACATACACCAAGTTTGAACATTCTAGCTCAATTAAAAGTTATCGTGTCCCAAAGCATCAACCAATCAAATTGCTTATCTCTGCTTACCCTAAGCGGAAAATGCTCATCTTCGAACTCCATCAAGGCATTGACCTAATCAACACATACACCAAGTTTGAACATTCTACCCCAATTAGGAAGAGAGTTATCGTGTCCCAAAGCATCAACCAATCAAATTGCTTATCTCTGCTTACCCTAAGCGGAAAATGCTCATCTTCGAACTCCATCAAGGCATTGACCTAATAAACACATACACCAAGTTTGAACATTCTAGCTCAATTAGGAAGAGAGTTATTGTGTCCCAAAAAGTGTGACGGACAGACAGACGGACGAACCCATTTTAATAGTCCCCTGCTTTCTTCGAAAGGCGGGGGACAATAAATGTGATACGAATTGAATTGCAACCCCGTCTCAAACCGAATAGGCTAACGGTACCGCAGCCATTGAAAACGTTACTTGGTAATCGAGATTATGTAGGTGGAGTTAACGCCTGTCAATCAAACGATCGGCCATTCTCAGAGACGGTGAAGAGAGAGTTGACTCCTATTTCTATTCAAAAATTAGAATGGTGATAACTTTGTTCAGAATAAAGTAATTTGACAGAAATTTTCAATATACTCTTCTTTCATCATCTATTTTTGAACTGTTATAGCAAGAATGGCTAACTCTCTATTAAAATCTCCCATAATGTATCTTTAATCATAATTGTGAACTCTAGAGGGACCACAAGCTAAAACATGATTTTTTTCGTACAATCAGGGGCCATAATTCAGGAAGTTAATATCGAAAGAAACCAAGATCTTTGGGTTATAAACATGCATTTCAAGTTTCATCAAAATCAGGTGAAAATTGTGTCCACAAGCTAAACACGTGATTTTTTGTACAATCAGGGGCTATAATTCATGAAGTTATGGTCGGATACATGCCAATATTGAAAGGAACCGAGATCTTTGGGAGATAGACTCATATTTTAAGTTTCGTCAAAATCGGATAAAAATTGTGTCCTGTTGAGTGCCCACAAACAAATTGTGGACGGACGGCATAATACGTGCACATGAAAATGTGGGCATATGAAAAAAATAGATAATGAAAACAGAATATGCTGAAAATTTCAGACAAATTACTTCACTCTGAACCGAAATATTAGCGATTCAATTTTAGACTAGCCTCAATTGTCCTTGAACCGATAATAATCAAAGTCTCGATTATCCAGTTTTTACGTTATCCATCACAAACCACTAAATTTTGCAGGCTAACAATGACATAGAGAGTTGATTATGGTCTTAGTAAGTTAATTAATGTTTAATTAATAATTTAGATAACATTTCAGGCCTAAAGAAAGACCTGCAGAAGGCAGATTTAGCTCTTGCAAAATATATGTTTAAAGATACATTAGTTAAGAGTTTTATAAAGAGTTGGCCATTCTTGCTATAATAATTCAAAAATAGATGATAAAAAAGAAAATATTAAAAAATTTCAGTCAAATTACTTTGTTCTGAACGGAATTGTCACTGTTGGAAGTTTGAACTAGAAATAGGCATCAATTGGGTCTTCACCGTCTGTGGGAATTAGCGATCGTTTGATTGACAGGCGATACCTCCACCCACATATTCTCGATTATCAAGTAACATGCTAAATGGAAATGGTAGTCTCACTTGGCAGGCCTTTCATCACCAGTTTCCGGTAGTGACATCACCTACTAGCGGTAAACGTTAGCTTGGTCCGCCATTTATTAATTTAATTTTAAATGGACGACTGTTTAAATCCAAACTGTATCTAAGCCATCCGCGGGTCTACAAAGTTGATTTTGAGCTTGTCGTGTAAATAAAGGTTTAATTAATAATTTCTATAACACCTGAAGCCTAAATAAAGACTTGCAATGGGCAGATTTAGCACATGCATAATGATGAAGTCAAATTCTTAAATCAAAAATACATGTAGTTCAAATAAATCAACACTCACTAAAAACTAACAAAAATATATATAAATTCCAAGACTAGTTTGAATAGCTTTGGTTATTATGTTATATCTTATATCAAAGCTTTTTTTGGTTTTTTTTTGACATTTCAAATCAACCATATGGTGTTTATATATTTCAAATCAACCATGGTGCTTATATATTTCAAATCAACCATGGTACCTAATTCAAAGCAACCATGGTGTCTAAATATTTCAAATCAACCAAGTTGTTTGTATATTTTAAATCAACCATGGTGTTTATATATTTCAAGCCAACCATGATGTTTATATATTTCGAATTAACCCTGGTGCTTTTATATTTTAAAATCACAAATTTATATATTTCAAATCAACCACAGTGTTTATATATCCCAAAGATCTTGGTTCCTTTTGATATTGACGCATGTCCAACCGTAACATTATTCTGCATTATATTTATAGGACCCGATTGTACGATAAATCACTTTTCTTTTAGCTTGATCTCTGTCCATCTCTTGCAAAATGTGTGTTATATATATATGTGTGTTATATATAACCGCATGTTATATTTCAAATCAACCAATGTTTCTATATTTTAAATCAAACTATGCAGTTCATATTTAACTGTACCAGTTTTAAATCAACCATGGAGTATATATATTCTTGAATGTCCCAAAATATTTTTATAATTTAAACCAACCATGATTTTTGTATATTTTAAAGATACATTCCCGCGTACAAACTGGGGGATTTGATGATATATTTAGACTAAAAACATATTCAAACTAATTAATTTTTCATAATTTTGCTTCAAATCCTTCTCAGAACATTGTAATTGCCAAGAAATGCCCCTGCTATAAAAAATCGATCAAAAGAGGTCATGTTTGTGTCACGTGACTTACCTCTCTCGGTACCTAGCAACGGGTGCGAATTCTGAGGAGAATTCATTGCATACACAAGACAATGTTGTCTTTAATCACAGACTATTTTTTACAAATATTGAATCCTAATTAAATTCTCAGATTATCCACTGGCAGTGTCTTTCTCCGTGATTTTTATCTCAGAAAGTGCTGTACGTCTAACTCTTCATAAAGTTTATCAACAAATACATCAAGCGCTCAATCTCCACGTGCAACCTTTGATGTCACGCGTGCAGATATTCTTAATCGTTTGGCTGTCGATTAGGGGAATCCTTACAATTTTGTCTGTATACGCTCCATGAGTGTTTTTCAGAGAATCCAGTATTTTTCTAGTAAGACTGGATATTTCTACTTTCCATATATACCAAAATTACCATACTTTTATTGGAAATAACCACCCGATAAATACTTTTCTGGGAACCTATCTTTAAATCAATCATGGTTAGTATGTATTTTAAATCAATCCCGACTGTTATATATTTTAACTTTAGGAACTATATAGCGTATATCAACTGGGCCTTTTAATGGCAATCTGAACATAAATACATAAGTATGTATCCAGTGGTGATCTGCAAAGGACATGTCAAGATTAGGTGGTAATACTGATGTCTTTTTAAGATGCACACAGGCTCGCTTCTTCATCTGGTCTAATACTGGATAATTACCACACACAGAACGAAACCAAAAAAATTTTGTTGTATCAATTGTTGGGAAAAAATACTCTGGTGGCGAAAGATAAGTTCCATTTGCATGTGTGTCTGGATAATTAAACTGTTTCTGGTATTGTCTGAACCAATAAGTCACAAATTGTGGCCCTGTGCTGTCCAAAACATTCCACATAATAGAGAAGTCTGCCAAATTATTGATTAACATTTTCATAAAAGGGTGTCCTTTCCTACATCCGATCAATGCATTAATGACTAAATGTTCAAAACTAGAATCTAGTGTAGAATGGACATATGGTTCCTGTCCAAAGAAACAGGAATATTTTTTTATTATGGGGTTAAGTGACTTAATATTTTCCATGTCTAGGTCTGCATACACTCCACCAAATTCATAGAGAATAAAATATCTCATAGCATCAGCCCTGCGTATAGGCTCTGTATAACCATCGTAGATAGGAATAAAACTGGGGTAGCGTTCTGCAATTAGTTGTCTGGCACTGGCGTCTGTCCAAAACCAATACTCCCAGTCAGGATTTATTTTATACCAGGACTTAACCCATGGAATAAATATCTGAGGTACTTCAGTGGATTTCCAAGTCTGATGAATAATTTTAGGAACTTGGTCTTGTCCTGTTGTAGGAAAACTTTCTAGCCTGGTCAGACCTAATGGAGGAAAATTAGCATCATCTGGTATATTTAAAGAAGAAAAATCGCCATGTTCTCTGATCTGTTCAAACTTGATAATACCATGAAGGGAGATAATCACCACAATCCCCATACATAATGTCTGACATGTCGCATAACCTTCCTTTGTGCCACAGAAATAGTGCAGTAAACTTCTGGCCATCTCGATATAGACTTTTCTGAAGAAAAAAAGAAATTGGTTTAAAAATATGATGAATCAACAAATATCATATTGTTTAACTTGATATGTTGAAAAGTTGATACATACACAGACAGATATAATAAAGTTGTCCTCTTGTCTTATTTCTTAAGGTCCATAATGCCAACAAGATCAAAAAGAAAGATTGGTTGCCAGGCTACACATTGTGAATGTTTAGGAAAGGAAAAAGCAAAATTTTCATGCTGTATATCAATGGCACTTTGACAAGATTCTATGACACAATAAAGGGCACTAACACTATAAGTAACAAGCCAACAGTGAGTCTGATGTCCCCCACCGAAATTGCAAAATAAATAGATGACACATATTAATTAATCGCACATTTATTTTTTTCACTAAGTTTCATCACCCTCTATCAGATAGAATCAAGATTATCTTGTCCCAAACCATCGACAAATGAAATCGATTAGCTCTGCATAGCTTTAGCTCGAAATGTTCATCAATGAACTTAGTCAAGACATTCACCTAATGAACATCTACATCAAGTACATTCACCTAATAGACACCTACGCCAAGTTTGAACATTCTACCTCAATTAGAAAGAGAGTTATTGTGTTCCAAAGTCTCTACAAATCAAATTGCTTATTACTCTGCTTACCCTCAGCAAAAAATGTTCATTATAGAACTTAGTCAAGGTATTGATATAATAAAGCTATACACCAAGTGTCCTCACTTTCACTTAATTAGAACTAAAGTTATCGTGTCCCAAAGCATCAAACGGCTTATCTCTGCTTACCCTAAGCAGAAAATTCTCATCTTCAAACTCCATCAATGCATTCACCTAATTGACACCTACGCCAAGTGTGAACAATCTAACTCAATTAGAATGAGAGTTATTGTGTTCCAAAGTCTCGACCAATCAAATTGCCTATCACTCTGCTTACCCTGAGCAGAAAATGCTCATTATCGAACTCCATCAAGGCATTGACCTAATAAACACCTACACCAAGTTTGAACATTCTAGCTCAATTAGAAAGAGAGTTATTGTGTTCTAAAGTCTCGACCAATCAAATTGCTTATCGCTCTGCTTACCCTGAGTAGAAAATGCTCATTGTCGAACTTAGTCAAGGTATTGATGTAATAAAACTGTACATCAAGTTTCATCACTCTCACTTAAATAGAACTAAGTTATCGTGTCCCAAACCATCAACCAATCAAATTGCTTATCTCTGCTTACCCTACGCAGAAAATGCCTATCTTCGAACTCCATCAAGGCATTGACCTAATAAACACCTACACCAAGTTTGAACATTCTAGCTCAATTAGAGGGTGAGTTATTGTGTTCCAAATGCTCATCTTCGAACTCCATCAAGGCATTGACCTAATAAACACCTACACCAAGTGTGAACTTTTTAACTCAATTAGAATGAGAGTTATTGGCAAAAAGTGTGACGGACAGACAGACAGACAAACCCATTTTAATAGTCCCCTGCTTTCTTCGAAAGGCGGGGGACAATAATCAGATATAATTTTTCATTATAAAAAAAATGTTGGTAAAAGGGTTGTTATTTATATAGTCAAAGTAAGTAATAGAATGGTAATTAATTACATTGGCAATAATATGAATTATACCTTATTGTTTTTATTCCATAATTCTACAAAGTGAAATACCACTACCAGTAAGGGTGATCCCTAGAAGTAATAAACTGAAATTGTTGAAATTCAAATTCAATGTGCTTCCTCGTTACATGAATTTGAATTATGAATATACATTTCAAACAGATTAGATGATAATTTTTGCCGTTAAGACTTTTGAGCTTTCACAAGATTATACAATGTGAAAAAAGGGTGATAACTCTAGAACTGATTAACAGAAATTATTGATATTCAAAGATTCAATAGGATTCTCCATTTCAGGAATTTGAACAACGCATGTAAATCGGATAACTTTTGTCCATCACAACTGTATAAGCAATTAACAGAAATTCAACAGGTTTTTTTTGTCTTCAAATATAAATTTTAAAACTATTAGATGATAAATAAGCTTATAGTCTGCAAAGTGTAGGAAAAAGATAGACCAACCAATAGCCCAGATGACCAGCTACTATCATTAATTACCAAACTACCCAGTATTGACATTTGTACTGTAGCGTTGAAATTGTGCTAAAGTAATTTTGGCGAACTGAGTACACATAGGCATTACCCCAGTTATTATCATGGTAGCCTTGATATAACTGAAAAAATGATTTGCTCATGGTAGCCTTGATATAACTGAAAAAATGATTTGCCCTATGGACAGATCTGTGTTATATATTTTATCACTTATTTGTTCAGATAATTTTTATTTTCAGCAGGTTAGCTGATCCATGCTTGCTTAACCTCTAGTCTAGAAGTACTATAGACATCTGTAGGACATCGCATGTTTATCTTGTTCATGAAGCTGTTCACAAAGAATATACTAACCAATGAATGTCCTGGTTGCCAAAATCAGAACATAAACAATTTGGGCCCAATTTTTGTCAATTAATATGTAAACATTATCAGTAGATGTTTTCAAATGTCACAAATCAGGTATAATCTGAAGATGGCTGCTTAACCCCGACAGTGATTTTAGCTAACTTGGTCAATTTAATTTGAAATATATCATATGTATTGTCCGTTAATCAAGGTAACAATAACATTCATAATAACACAACTTTATGGATTTACTACTTCTTAGTTTATTACATGCAACGTTTCAATACTCTTACAGGTATCGTTATCAAGCAATGATCAATAATGAATAATAACCTACATTTATAGTACATCCATGAGTAAAAACAATATAACAATCAAAACATAACATTAATTAAGATTTATAACAACAACTATTTCCCTTTGAATATGACTTCACTATCTCTATGAAATATACAGATTAAATAGGGGACTGAAGCCCCCAACTAATAAAATATAATCCTACAATCAATACGCCCTTATCTATAGAATTAACTAGGTTGGTGTCTTTAAGCTTAGGTTGATTCTAATCCTCTCCTTCCTTATGATCACAATATAAACTAACCACTTATAACACGTATATGTCCCCATGCATAATCATACCACATTCTTAACCATTTCACTTTTTACAAAAATAAAGTTATAGTTCCCCTGTTAATTCATAATTTTTTAGATCCCCCGATAAATAATCAATTAAAATTAACTTATTAAATAATAAATTAGGTTCTACTGATACAGAGTTCCACTGATAATTATAATACAAGATCGCCTCATCATTTACATCCTTAGTGGTTTACCCACAGTTCTGTGCACCGCACGCCAAGAAGTCGCAGTAACAGACCGTTTCATTGGCTAATCATCCCTCACATTAACCAGAACACAGCTTATGTAACAACTCTTCCAGATCCTAGTGCAGTAGACTCTTCGAGATCCTAGTGTAGTAAAGATAAGTTAAACGAAATTTTGAACCATAAAAAACGAAACAAAATAGGATCTGTGTTTTAATCAGATTCGGTAACGAAACTGGAAAAATCAATCAAATTCCATCTGGGAACTAAGAGTATCGGGTAGATCAAGGATCAAAGAGCTCCAAATATCCTACCCTCAACTTGTCAAGGCCAGATAAATATCATCCTCCCTAATGAAAATGTCCTATAGAAAAAGTATAGGTTCCTATAGAAGTTTGTGGGATTCTATAGAATGCTACTGGAAAACTAATTCATTCTGTAGGGTTTTTTTTCACTTGACTATAGATTGAAAAACATTTACTATAGTTTTGGGTAGGATCGGTAGTTGAGTTTTTTCCAAGTGTAATGTCCTATAGTAAGAAACTATTGGAAAAAAAAAATATCTATAGTTTTGGGTAGGATCGGTAGTTGAGTTTTTTCCAAGCGTAATTTCCTATAGAATACTGTAAGAAACTATTGGAAAAAAAAAAAAAATCTATAGATTCATTGGCGCTGCTATAGATTTGGTGGTAAAAACTATATAGTTTTCTATAGACCTAACTTGTATCTTTGCACCATTTGAGTAATCCTATAGTTTTCTAATTCTATAGCCTTTGTGGTAAAAACTATAGTTTACCATATAGTATTCTCAAGTCAGTTGTGGTACCTATAGATTTTGTGATAAAAGCTATTGTTTGCTATAGAACTAACTTATAGTCTCAAGTCAGCTGTGTAATCCTATCCTATAGTTTTCTATGACATTTTGTAGAAAACTATGGAAATTTTTTTTTTTATTCTATAGTGTTTGTGGAGAAACATATAACTGATGAGCCTTCTATAGTTTTCTGTAGAATTTATATGATGTATGCGTTACTTAAACCATTTTAACAAATACTATAGTTTCCTACATAATAATGTAGTAACATTGTTCTATACTACAGATTTCATATTTCATTCTTTTATTTATACTATAGTTTACTATAGAATTTAGTGATACAATTCTGTGAATTATGTAACAGAATTTTCTGAATGCAGTTTTCCTTAATTTACTGTTATAACAAGTAAACTAAAATAAGCTTACCATAAAAATAAAAAAAAAAATAAAGTCTTAAAATAATATTTTTTTAATGTAGTGCCTATGAATGAAATAGTGATACATGTTGACACTCTGAGAAATTCCCACCTCTGACCCCACCCTCCCAAAAATGCCAGTAAATGTAGATCTTCACAGCAAAAATAATAGATAACAAATTATTCTTAAGATAAGTCAATGAAAGTTTATTTGAACACAGTCTGACTGTTGGGTGATCCTGCAAGTTAGATTAGATTCTCTACTCAAGTTATATAATTTGTTGAAGCCAGTAGGTCAATCGTGCATACCTGTCCAAAAACTATAATTAACAACCAATTTACTCTCTTGAAATCTGTTTGGTCATTGGCTGAATTTTAAATTCTAAAATTCAGTGTATAACAACTTAATATGTTAGTATTATTAACAAGAAACTGAAGAGAATGGTGCTGTTTTTTTTCACAGATTCGATTAAAGACAGAAAGATAAGTATACTTTATTACTTTCTGAACAGTAATATTAAATTAGACAAGATTGATGTGATTTTGTTATTTACTTTTAAAACTTTATTTAACTATTCTTTTCTCTATATTTCAGTTATACCAAGAAGAAAACTTGTCATGGTTTTGACTGGTTAAAGATACATTATGAGAGATTTTTATAAGGAGTTAGCCATTCTTGCTATAACAGTTCAAAAATAGATGATGAAAGAAGAATATATTGAAAATTTCAGTCAAATTACTTTATTCTGAACATAGTTATCACCAGTGTAATTTTTGACTAGAAATGGGATTGAATTCCACCTTCACCGATTCTTAGTATGGCCGATCGTTTGATTGACAGGCGTTAACTCCACCTACATAATCTCTGCTGTCTTTTGTCTGCTGTCATCATATATATTCGAATTTGTGTTTTACCTTTTTGGATTTTTATAACAATTGGACAAAATGAGTGAGAGGGTAAATTTTCATTCTTACTTGTATTTTGAGCATGCATTAAATTAATTGAATATAGGACATAATATTATAATACAATTATGATAAATCTATAGGTTGCCTATACACCAGTGCATGGCGTCGTGCCTATTGGGGAAAAAAATTTTTTTTTATTGATATTATGAAGACAGAAGACCTGTCCGTCTGTAATAGTCATCACACCCTCTCCAGGAATTGTATAATTTGTCATTAGTTTATTGCACTTTAAATAGTTTAGATGTCATTTGTTAAGGCATCGCTCAACAGCGGCCTCGCTTCGTACACACTATCTTTTAGCCTCGATCTGGGAGTATGACGTCAACGTAACGGTTAATCTCCGCTCACAACGGCATTTAAAATTAAATCAGTCAAAGAAATCTCGTTTAAATCCAAGCCATCCGTGGGTCTACAGAGTTGATTTTGTGCTTGTTGTGTAAATAAAGATCTAATTTATAATCTATGACATCTGAAGCCTAAATAAAGACATGAAATAATCAGATTTAGCTCATGCATAATGTATGTTTAATCAAAAGAATTCAAATTAATCCACAAGAAAAAAAAAAAATTTAGAAGAAATCATGGGCCAACTATATTCCCAGAATAAGAATTAATAAAAAATCTAGGGAATTTCTATAGTACCCATTCCTATGGAAAAATGTAGTGACCTAGTTTCCAAACTACAGAATACAACAGCATTCCTTCCTATACGTAACTGTAGAATTTCCTACAGAAAGTGCAATAAAAAAAAAACCTATAGAGTGCTATAGTATTTTCCTATAGAGATTTTCCCATAAATTTGTAGGAAAAACTATAGAATATGCGCTACAGAAACTGTAGAATATTTGGAGTTGTCATTTCCTACAGGCCCCCAATATTCTGTAGAATACTATAGGGTCATTCCACGTCAAGTGGACCAAATTTCGGAAAGTTGGGAACATGACCCCCTCCAAAAAAATTATAAAAAATATATGTTACAGTACATGGACTTAAACTAACAAATCCAAAATTATACCTCTCTAGGCTGAAAATTCGCTGAGATATGGCCATTTTAAGTTAGGGTACTGAAACGGATCATAAATTCAGCTTTTCGGTTGCTTTAAATTCACATTTCTAATAGGAGTAGAACTCTCTAATTTTGTAATCTAAGACAACTTTTGGTGTAGATTATGAATTTAGCATCACGCGCAATGTGCGATTCACACAGTTCGTGCCACCATGTGGCA